ATGGCCCAGTTACATATGATAAATTAACTAAAATATCTAAATCAAAACCGTGCAATACTTTTGTCCTCCCCCGGTATGTCCAACACACAGACTTGCTTGACACCGATCCATTTCATTGTGGATGAAAAGATCATACCTTAGAATTCAGAACGTGTTAAATAATGTTATAAAAACGCTCATAAATCTAAACGATAATGGGACACCGAATAAATAAGAAAATTAATAATTCAGGAAATGTCATTTTTTTTCCTTAAAAAAAAAATGATTTTGTACGACAATTTTTTATTTACCACGATTTCCTAATTAGTCATCGTGGATTTCGAGAAACTACCATAATATGAATCTGATTTTCTAAAATATTATACTTGATTAATTTTTGTGAATCTGGTTATTTTTAGTTAAAAAACAATATAAAAAGAAAAGTTTAATATAACTATCGAAATTTCAACTTCAATTCCGATGATTATTAATTACTATATACCAATAGGTTGCACTAATTATAATTTATTCAATTAATTATACCTCTCTTATATTTCATTTATATAACGTTGATTTCGTAGTATCTGTCGTAGCATTTAGAATAGACTTGACGTATGTTGAAAATACCCACTTAACTTTTAAACTTGGTTTATACGGTTTCTTCTATCGGATCCTTCAAAAGGAATTTGAGTCAAAGCAACTACCACCGAAACACAACCCTAAGATTTCTTAGACCTGTAGAATATATTTATTAGGTCGTTGTTCGGAATCAACTTCATATACCATTTGAATTTTAAATTTTGAATCCATCTTAATTTTTTTTTTTTTGGCGGCAAATACTGAACACGTGGTTTGAAGATCGTCTAAAATATCAAAAAAATTTTTTTTTTTTGTCGTAATAATGAAGTTTAAAGTTTGGAACTTTTCATTATGGCCTGCCATCATGATGATAAAGTAACCAAATATTAGACATGAAATACCAAACCTTTTGAATTTGTTTTAGATTTTGAATTCTATAAATCTCAAATTTATATTTTGGGTTTGTTTTTAAACTTATCATTATTATCATTATGGTTCTACTGGAACAAAGATGCGAATGTATTGTACGATATATTAATTTTACAGTAATGTATTAACAAATTTACAAAATTTACAGAACTAAAATTAATTAAAAATTTAATATTATAAAGAAATATTTTTTTACATGACAACAACGCAACGTTATAACTTAATTAAACTTTTATTTTTTTCACTTAATTCTTCGTTTACGGATCTAAAATTCTTTGTCATTCATCTATTTCTAGTAATAAATTTCATGTACGACATCCTTTTGTGTGGTTCATTTTGTTATCTTAAAGTTTGAAGGTTAATTTTTTTTTACTTATTTGAGGAGGCATATCGAAGAAGTATTTAAAGAATCGAGAGTAGCAAAAATAAATATTGTTATATTTTACTTTAATAACTATATTTCGTGTTAAAATTACCATTGATATTTTTGATACCGCAACAACCACGTGTTTTGCAATTTAAATTAAAAAAAAAATAAATAAATGCAACATAAATATATCATGTACAATTTAGAAAGTTCTGATTTAAAGCCACGATTGTTCTCATGTATGTAATTCTCTAATTAAAAATTTGATTATAAAAACATTAAATTTATCAAATTATGCAATAGCAAAGTATTTATCATTTATTATTTTGACATCATTTCGTCAGTCTTTCACTAAATAGCGTCACTTTCAAAATAAAATTTTTATAAAATTTTTAGCATTCACAATTGCTAAAAAAATAAATAAAATATAAAATATAAATAAAGGGCGAAGAAAGAATTGTTTCGATTGTTTTTATATAACCAAAAGGTCAAAGGGAACGACTATTAAATAAGGTTTTGTGGATCACAAATTAAGCGCTATATGCAACAATTTGTTTATGAAATACCAATCAAGTTTTTTTTCCAAATAAAGGATTATAATAAAATGAATTTTATTTCCTTTTAAAGCTTTCTTTTCGAGCGAGAATTCAATAAGTCTAGTTCGATCATCGAAAAAAAAATAATTAATTTTTTTTTTTTTTTTTTTGGCTTTATTGGATGACTTACAAAAATTATAAAATTGGTAAACATTTTCATTATCTATTTTTCTTTGGAGTTGAATCCGGTAGGACGTATAGCGCATTCGTCTGTTCTTGCTGAAAATAAACTTTATTTTTTTGGCGGTGTGATAGATGATAAAACGTGTTCAAACGAAGTATTCTATCTTATTTATCGCAACCATTTGTTACGGAGACACCGCCATGGACTGACCTTACGTTAAATTCAGAAACACAGAAAACGATAAATTTATTTGTTGGATCCACGTATAACTTAATGAAGGATGAAGACTCTTTTATATCCAATCCTAATCATGGAATATACCTAACGTTATAGGAAATGCACCCGAAAGACTTAGAATCATAAATAGTGTTATCTATAATGCCGGAAACATGTATATCTTTCTTGCACAAGCTTAGGTGTACAGCAACAAATTATTTAACGAAATGATTACCTTGAATACGGTTGAAATATCATGGTCAATTAATGCTCCGGTCAACGCTCAAGTAAGCGGCATAGTTATACCACACATCACTTTATCAATGGTTTTATTGCGTACATTGGTGGTTTGGAATTTGTTGAGTCCCGAGAAGTGGACATTAAACAGGTTATCTCTTGATTTTATACCATATTTACTCGAAACAATAATTGATCTTTATAGTATTAAGATGGTTTAAAAATATAAAGTAAGATCATGATTATTGGTGGAAAAAGTTAGCACACCTGCAATGTAACCAACTTGATAATAAATAATATCAAAATTCAAACACAAAATGTAAAGCGTAGACGGTTCAGAAATTTTCACAAGTAGATCCGGATTTATATTTACAAACTTAAATTTTAATTGCTAGGAAGAGCGTTAAAAGGAAGATCCCGAATTTTTAAAAAGATAAATTAACAAAAGAAATCGAGCATTTAATTTACATTACTGAAGACTAATAAATCATTACCCAATTAAGTTTCTATTAAATTTTCATTACGTTCTACGGTGGTATTGTCATACAAATTCCATAGATCGTGAAATCTCTTCATTTAGCGAGTTGTTAATAAGGTTTTGAAAGTATTGTAGGTTGTTAATAAGGAAACTTGGATCCATGTCCGGTTAAATTTTTCCAAGTCAATAACCAATAGTACAGTCATGGATAACAGTACAGTCATGGATAACAGTTCCATAGTGTAAATTTTTCTTACATAATTTACAATAAGTGTGAAGGTGATGGTTCTCTGTATCACAGGCAAAGGTACACTGTGATCCTCCTTTAGTAATAGGTTGATTAGCGATAACTTGTTTGACTTTTATATTAGCATGATAAATTTCTTCCATTTCATCCTTTGGACTTTCGTAGCCAATTATGGTGATTAATGGAGTGTTCGAATACTGTTGTGCTAGTTCTTCTTCAAACCATTTTTCTTCATCAGTTTGTGAATTATTCTTTAAAGAAACATGCCACTCAAATTCTTTTTCGTTTTCAGAATTATTATTATTCCATTGAGATTCTCCTTCAGTATAAGCATACCATGGTTCATCGATAGTTCCAACTATGAAACATTTATTTGTTGATTCTTCTTCATCGTACATTCTAGATAATGCATTTGCATTGGCGTTATGTTTTCCTGCTCTATGCTCAATGGTGAAGTGATGCTGTTGAAGTTCCATTATACATCTAGCACATTGTCCTTTAGGCATTTTTGATGTTTTTAACCATTTTAATGCAGCATGATCGGTTACAATAGTGAATGGGTGACTTAAGTAGTGATGGAAATGTTTAATAAACCAAACTATTGCTAAACATTCCAAATCAGTTATTGAATAATTTTCTTCTGCTTTGTTTGTAGATCTACTGGCATACGCAATAACATATTCTTTTCCTTCCTTCTTTTGTAAAAGAACTGAAACGATCAAAAGAAAATTGTTGTTTTCTTCCTAATTAAAAGGTTGATCCTTTTTTAATAATATTGTCAAAGGTTTTATGTATCTAGCAAAATCCTTTTTGAATTTTCGGTAATATCCAAATAATCCTAAAACTGCACGTAATTATGTTAAGGTCTTTGGTTCAGGAAATTCTTTAATTTTTCTAATCTTTTCAGGATCAGGTTGGAGTCCTCCTTATCCTACGATATCTTCAAGAAAAGTGATTGAAGGTCGACAAAAATGACACTTCTTAAGTTTAATTGATAATTAAGCATCACGTAATGCTTGAAAAACTTGGTTGATTTGATCAATGTGTAGTTCAAATGATCCTTTAGTATAAATAATCACATCATCTAAATATACTGCTACAAAGATTCCAATGAAATCTTTTAAGATCCAATTCATTAATCTTTGGAAACTTCCTGATGCATTGTTGAGTCCAAATGATATAACAAGAAATTCGTACAATCCATGAGTTGTGTAAAAAGCAGTTTTCTCAATATCATCAGGATGTATGGCTACTTGTCAATATCTACTGGCTAAATCAAGTATAGTAAACCAATAAGCTCCTCTGAGAGAATCTAATAAATCGTCAATTCGTAGTAAAGGATAAGCATCTATTTTCGTTACTGCATTGAGTTTCAGTAATCAATGCAAAGTCTTTTGTCTCCTCATTTTTTTCTACTATCATGACTGGTGAGGCCTATGAGGGTCGAATTATACTATTGGTTTCCATTTTTTTTAATTCTTCATTTAAAAATTTTGCATTTTCAGGATTTGTCCTATATGGTTTTTGAGCAATAGGTATTGCATTACCAATATATATACGATGTTTTATTTCAGTTGTTCGTCTAATTTCTGTCTGATTTTTTGCGCAGATGTACGCTTATTCACTTAAAAGATTTTGAAATAGTTGTTGCTGATAGTAGTCTAATGGTCTAGTTTGTTCAAAGGGAATGATTTCTTTATCAGCTACATATTCAGCAGTTTCAGTAAGAAAGATTGCTGGATTAGCTTTTTGAGAATTGATTTCTGTTTTCTCATCTTCCGTATCATTCTCTAAGTTGATTGGAGAGTAATAGTCATTTCAAGGGTTGAATTCTAATTCACTATTATCATTAGATTCAGATTCATATTATTTATCAGAAAAGTAAACAGGATATTCTTCCAAGTATTCATCTTCAAATTCATTATTATCATCAGTTTCTTCTTCCTCTTGAGTCACTACTTTAGCAGTTTTAGTGAAAGTAATAGAAATTCAAATTATATATTTACCTTGTTTAATAGTTAGCATTGATTGTTTCCAATTCATATTGGCGTTAGTTTCTTTGAGCCAATCGTTTCCAAGAATAAGGATTTCGTCTCTTGATTCTAAGACTTGAAAAGATGTAAGGATTTGAATTTTTCAATGTTTACTGATACATTATTGATTATTCAAAGTGAATGATACTTTGGTATAGCATGTGCTGCTTGTTCTACTGAGAGTCCACATGGTAAATTTTATAGATACGTGGAAACATTAAATTCAGTGAGTTGTTCGATTAGTGCAGGTAATAATCGTTGTCGAGAACATTTTCAGTTTTTCCTGTTACAGTTGGTTCAACTAAAAGTGTTGGTTCTGCTTTCATTTTTTCATCGATCATGGGAGAACTAAAACATTGGGTTATCATAGATCTCAAAAGTTATTCTCATTGTGATTCACTTTATTTTCTTCTGTTTTTTGAGATTGGATTTTTAGAATATGGTCTAAATCTGGTATTTAAGTAGACTTCATACTCTTCTTATTCTTCAGTTTCATAATCGCACTCTTCATCGTAATATTGTTCAGCTAAATAAACATCTCTCTAATTTACAAATTATAGATTTCTGTTTGACCTTAGTTGTCGAGACGCAGTACATTCTCTACTGAAATGTCCAACTTTTCTACAATTGAAACAAGATAGATTTGTTGGTTGTGATCTCCTTTGTATGTTAGAATAACTTCAGTTATTAGAGAAATTTCGCTCATTATTGAAGTTTCGTTCATTTGCAAAATTCCTTTCATTATTAAAATTTCTTCTCCTTAGAGGCGTTTGTGTTTGGGTTAGCAAAGCGGTAGTTAAATTTGCATAATTTAGAGACAATTACTCCATTTGTTTTGTTAATTTATCGACTTCATTGTTTGCGATAACATTTTTAGGTACAACAGAGGGAACACTAAAAGTAGAGTTGACACTTTTAGCAACTCTGCCAGTTGTAAAGTTATAACTAATTTCGATTGTTCTAGCTGAATTAACTGCAGCATCCAAATTAGCTGGATTCTGAAAGTATACAAGTGGAGTGTAGGCTGGATTGAGTCTCATAAGGAACATTCGCTTCTTCTGAAGATTATCTGTTATACCGATTCTATTAACTAATTTCTTGAATTTATTAGCGTAGGAGTCAACAGATTCATCAGTTTCATCAGTTTGTTATCGAAGTATTGAGAGTTTTTGATATCATTGATTTTTATTGGTTTCATTTATAAAACTGCTCTAAAGAGATCCACAAAATTATTTCCGCTATTGGTTGTTGTAGCCCAATTATCTCTAATAGTTGCAAAAATTCCATCAAACCAGTCTGCTGCTTCTCCCTTCATATGTCCTCCAGCAATAGCCTTTTTCTTAGCTTCTGTAGTCTATCGGTTAGTTATTGATGCTCATTCAAAGGAAGTGTGCCATTCACTTGGGTCTTCGTTCTCATTTCCATGAGAATAGTCAACCTTAACAGTATGTTCTTCTTCTCTTAGTCGTGCTCCTCCTTCTCAAAAGATTCCTTCTAAAGCTTCTTTTATTTAGTCTCCTGTTACTGCCATTAAATCCAGTGGTTCAGATAGTAAAGTTCTGGTAGTTGAATTAGATAAACTATTAGCAGATGGGATTGGTGAGGCAAGTATTTGGTGTAATAATTGTCTGTCTCTTTGTATTTGTAATAAATCTTAATCTAATATTTCAATGTAAACACATTTCGAGATGGATAGTGTAACTTGTCTCTCAAAATAATTGGTATTGAATGCTACGCCTTGAATATATATATATAAAATGTCAAATGAAAATAGTGTGTCTCAGTAACGAATACTAGAAAGTATTATTATGATAACACTTTTAATCATTCATCATGATATTCTGATTCAGACGTATGGTATAGGTTTTTAAATAAATTAAATGCAACAGTATTTCTTGCAGAGTAAGTACCAGCTTGAGGTTCAAAGTTAAACCAAACCCAAAAGTATATAGAACTATCTGTAAGATTGTTATTTGAGGGTGGGGGATAACACTAAAAGCAAGTATAATATACGTTTAAACTAGTGTTAGAGTAGTGCCTAATAATATGCTCAGTTGTATTATGTTCAACTTCTTCAAAATTCATACACCTCCCTAGTTCGTTAGCGGTTTATTGTGTATAT